GTTTTAAAAAGAAAGAAAATAAAAAATACAAGAATAAATAAAATAAATAAAAAAAAAATTATAAACATAGAAAATCTAGAAATCAATTTTTTTTTAAAAAAAAAAAATTATATATAATAATTACAGCGAAGTGTTATCTAGAAAGTTCAAAAACTAACTTGATAAAATTATTAACATTAAAAGAAAGAAGGATAATAAAAAAAGAAAAGAAAAGGAAATTTGAAATATATATTGTTATGTAAATGAGAATTATAAAAAAAAAAAATCAATGTATTTACCGGCGACGATAACCCAAAAATGCTTATACACTATTTAAATAAAATTAAAAAAAAAAATATTATATAACAATTGTTCATTATCTGTTACCAAAAATCAACACTCCCATTGCTTTAATTAGTTCCTGGGTGCGTCTATTTTTTTCTTCTAATTCTTTGTACCGTTCCAAAAGATAATAATTATTATTAAATTGTGAAAAGGTGGTGTTATCAGCAAGACAATTAGGATATCCATTAGCAGGAGAATTTAAAGGCATAAATATATCATCAAAATAATTTTCAGGGTTATTGAAATTATACTCTTGAGGAATTGGTTGAATTCCTTGAATTCCTCTAGTAAGGTCAAAATCATAATGAGGATTATCTCTAACACCAATAAAAGAGCTGGAGGTAACAATTTCTAATTCCTTCAATTTCTCGCGAATAGCATAGAAATTGGCATTTATGATTGATCTAAGATTTACACGAAATTTTTCAATGTCTTCAGGATTGGTCAAATTAAATGTTTTATAATTATTTATCATATCTATAAGCGAATTAAAAGAGTCAATAATTGTTTCTTTAAGGCTACAATTTTGATGAAAATTTAGGTTATTTGGAATAGGTGAGGTATCGAAAGAAGAATACAAGTCGTAGGGACTAAATAGTGGTAAATTTAATTGTTGTTGCTGTTGAGTTTGTTGAGTTTGTTGAGTTTGTTGAATTTGTTGGTTTTGTTGAGTTAAGGAATTAAATGAAGTAATTTCAAATGGAGTTGAAACGGGTGAGTTTTCCGTTGCTATCTCATTGTTCGTTGTTGATGAAGTGGTACCAACTTCAGTTTCAGTGTTATCACATTTATTATGATAAATGAATATACGTGATTTATTGATTTCTCTATATCTCTGTTTAGCTTGAGTGGATAATCGTTTATAAAACTCTCTTACTTCCGGTTTTTCGTTCTTCCATTTGTTTGAAACAAATCCAGAAACTTCAGCTAAATTTAATTTAGTACACTCTGTTTTAAGGTATTCAACCCATAAGATTCTATAGATAAGAAAACAATTTGGAATTTTCCCGGGTTTTGAAGGATTATTCTTTCGTAGTTTTTCCAGCAAACCATCTACACTCAAATCTGGTGGGTATTTTAGCTTCAAATCACTTTTTAAAGAATTTTTTACTTTAGGCATAATTCCTGATTTATTAATATGAGTGAGGATATACTGTAATTAGAAAAAAAAAACAAAATGAATTGAAAAACTGCGCAATAAATTGTACAGGGTATGTTATGTTATGTTACTCGAAACAACCGAGAGGAACAAAAATTTACTAAGACGTCTATATATATATGTTTTCTGACCAAATTTGCAATTTAATCAGAATTTATTATTTTTTACCATTCATATCACAAGATCAAACATAACTTACTTTTGCATAAGATCTTTGGTAGCACGATTTTACCTTTATAGATGATTAAGTAAACTTTTTTCGTGTTCCCACCAATCTCCGATTTATTCCGGGTTGTACAGTACATGAAAAAAAAAAAAGTTCGCATCCCAAATTCACTTTCCTTTCAAAAAGATTATTTAGGTCAATTCTTTGGTTTCTTATTTTTTTAAAATAGAGAATTACGAAATAATAAAAAAATATATATACTATATGTAATATATAACATAATATAATAATATATCCATTAATATTATTAAAATTTTTAAATTTTTTTCGATCATTAACAATATAAAATGATTAACCTAATATAGCATTATATAATAGAAAAAATTTTGTGGTCGGAAAATTTTCTGATTTCACCAATAATTTTATCAGAAAAAAAATTTTTTTTTACTTTATTTGAAAAGAGCCGTCCCTTGCCAGCAAAAAATCTTATAACTGCTATATCACGGGTTCGGAAATTGGTTCGGTTCCAAAAAAAAACTTTTCGGTTTTTTTTTGTCATATGATCAAAAAATTCAAGTCTTGGCGTCCAAATAAGGTTTAAACATGACATTTTTTGCACGTTATAAAAATTCAAAAAGTTTAAAGTATGACAAAACGTTTTCTTTGTTTAAAGAATCTATAGATTATATAACAAAGAACTCATAAATTCTTCAGTATCGTCGGATCTAATCATATTAGAGATTCTTAATTTATAATTTCATTTACAATTTTGATTTTTTTATTGCATTATTTATACGTCAAATGTTTACGTGAATGAAAATTTTTATATATTGTACCACATAAAAAATCAGGTTCAAAAAAAAAAAATTTTTTTTAAAATAAATAAATAGCGGAAAATAAATTACAATGGTCCGAAGTCATGAAAATCATTACAATTATTTATAATTGATAAAATTAGTCACGTTCCAAATATTTGTTTTTTTTAAAAAAAAATATTGAAATTTTGCAATACAATAATAATACAAACCAATATAACCCATACCATTATGAAGTATATATAAAGAGTAAATTTTTTATGTTTAATAAAAATATTTAAAAAAGATCGGAATTTTTTGATCCGATAAGATAAACAAAAATGGTAACATCACAACTATCTTTACAAAATCTTTCGGACCGAAAAATAAATTTTTTTTGAATTTCCCAGACTTTTTTTTAAAAAAACTGTTGTTGTTATACAAGGATACGAATAACCCTATCATTCCCCGTATAAATTAAAAAGTTCAGGTGATGATCGTCAAAATTTTGGTCCCAAGATCAATTTGTTTTTAAAAACATAATAATTTGAAAAATTTAAAATATGGTTGGTACTCACTAATTATGGCAAGTTAAGTCTATTAATTGCTATTTTACTCATTAAAAAATGTGCAAATGTGCTATCTGAGTGTTATCTAAGTTTTATCTGAGTTTTATCTGAGTTTTATCCGAGTGTTATCTGAGTGTTATCCGTTATAATAATAGATAACCCTTTAAAATATACATTAGATTATTTAATAAAAAAAATTTTTTTTTTTTTCTTTCGGAATTTCTTTTGCTTTCAAATTCGTTCTCTTTTTTCTTTCTTATGCACGAATAAAATCATGGGATGCATTATTTTTGTTTACTATTGTACCTTATGACTATTACAAACCTTCATGTGATCCCTATATAGCTTTTTCGGGGGGCCCCAGCACTAGCGTTTTCTAGAAAAGTCTATCAGGCCTTTTTTAGAAACATGCGATTTCGAATCATTACTCGCCACACTTACGTATTAAAACTAGTTAGCCAAAATAGGAAATTCCATGATTTTAATATAACCGCGCAGTAACACGCCATACATACGCCACATATCATCATAATGTATGATTTATAATCTTTCATGAATATATAAGAAACGATTTCAAATCGTTTGATTATTTCGGGGAATAAGAATTTATAATAATAATTAGCAAAAGGATTAGCTCGTAATTTTTAGCGGTATATCTTTTTACCCGGCAGCACACCCTAAAGTTTAAAAAAAGTACAAAAACTCCCTGTTTCGCCTCTTCATAATTCATTCAATTAATTTAATGAATTTAATCATGGAACCAGAAATAGATCGAAAAAGAGAACATATTTTCTTAGATTCTAGTGATCCATCAATGCCAAATCAAGTATTCTTGGATGATCCCATTTCTCCATCAATTGTAAAACTTCCATTTCCACCACATATTGATCCATACAAATTAATAACTGATAGAAAACAAGATGGTGGAATGAGTCGAATACCTGCAAGAACTCCTAATGCATTTATCCTTTATCGTAAAATATTTATTGAAAGTGCTCGTAAAGAAGGTTATCATTTACCAATGACTGTTATCTCTTCTATGGCTTCAAAATCTTGGAAACATGAACCTGATAATGTTAAAGAAGAATATAAAAAAATTTCTAAACAAGCTTTTGAAATAAGAAAACAATTGATTCCTAAAACTAGTAGAAAAAAGAAAAGAGAGAAATGGAATTTTGTTTCTTTCTCAAATAAGTCAAATTTAAACGACAGTTCAAATAAAATAGAAATGAAAACTTTTGTGGATAATCAAAGTAAAGATATTCAACAACAAAAAGATTTAAGTGAAAATATGGATTCTTTTAAGCCTAATTTGGAAACAGCAAATCCACTCCCATATGCTGATTCATTGCCAAATAATGTTAATGAAGAAAACGGTTCATATACAAAGGAGCAATTGAATTATCAAATTGATAACCAAAAACCGATAAATTCGATAAATTACACAAACTGGGCCCATAATTCATATAATAATAACAAGGACATTGGATTCGAATCATTATCTCATGGTAATAATGTTACCAACGTATATGATATAAATCAGTACCAGTTATATAATGATGATGGTACAAATTCTCATTCTGCGGACAATTCATTACATTATAATTTTCAACCTTATTATAATAATATGTATAATATGTAAAAAAAAAAGGAAAAAAAAATTTTAAACGTATATAAACATTATTATTATAGATTATTAATTTTATCTCTATAAATTATATATTATTTAACAAGTCTAGCTAGTATTTTATTTACTTCGTACATATAAAAAAAAAGCAACGTTACAGTATAGTGAAATAAAGAAACGTGGCGCAGATGCTTACACGTGATGAAGCTTACCGTTTATTCATTTGTGCTTGTGTATGAATAGGCGATATATTTTGATGGTAAGCATGCGTCATTACTAAATAATTGCAAAGTAAATCAATCAAAAAATAGATTCATTAAAATTTAATCTTCCTATATCGTACAGAAATTATCTTACCGGTATACTGCATATTCTTCATAATTTAGAACAGCTCCGCCATGAGGACATTTTCCTAAGGTTATGTAATAATAGTGAGATGAAGTAAAATTTAACATAACATCAACGATTCATGTGATTAATACTTTACCTACACGTCCCCATGTAGAATCGTGCCCAGCCGGTGGAGAACGACAATTTTGTGAGACTCGATCCGGTTGCCATGTATTACCAAGTACAACCTAAAAAAAAAATAAATAAAATATTCGCTCGATATATATTATTAAAAAATTAAATTATTTGTATGTCACAACTCGCAAGTTAATTTTATACCTTTGTCATGAACATCATTCTGCAAGTGCGTCCAGCTTCCGTAGGTAATGGTTTGGCCTTTAACAAAGCAAATTATTAAAAATCAAGTTATAAAACAACACGAGTTAAAAATTATGTACTCACACCACCGTGTCCATAAAAATGCGCTTTCGAGGAGTATGGTGTAAAATAAATTCCCTGGCCAAGGCGTTGAAAAGATCGTCCTTGTTTATTTATTCCCACCTTAATAATCGAAAAAAAGTTATTGAAAAAAAAAAATGTTTTAAAAGAAAATGTCAAATTTGTGATTTTGCTGATAGACATTTACCTTGTCAAGTTTGAAAGAGTTCATGAGAATTCCACACCCAGCACAATTTGAGGATTTGCAAAGTTCTCTTAATGCATCATAAATTACAGCGCAGTTGTGATCTGTGCCATGATATAAAATTCGCTCGTCTCCTTCTTTTAGACCTTGCGACTTAAACTTTCCACGAGATTCAACAGTGGATCGATATGACTTATAGTTATTAACGATTGATTTCGGTAAAATTATACTAAAAATCGCTTCCACTCTCAATCCTATCGTATTTTTAATAAGGAAATCGATATAAAAGTACAATTAACAACATAATATCATTATTAATATACTTTTATTCTTCAGATCAGATTACCCTGCGTGTTTGGCTTTACCCAATCGCCCAAAAATTTATTTTCAATATCACTAAACTCGGTACTTTTTCTTGGAATTTCTATAAGATGAGTTGTATCCTCTGATGATTTGATTTGAATTGTACTTGAAAGATTACCGGCTGTAATAAAAATCATTTATTTTAAATAAAAGTTCGTAGAAAATAAAAAAAATAACGTAAATTTTATTCCTTACAACTTAATTCTTTCAAATGAATAACACATAAATTAAAATCTTCACATTCAATTTTATTATTACATGTAATTAAACAACATTGAGCCATTTTTTTTTGTTTCTTGAAATAAAGATACTTTTTTTTTTGTAGGAATTTTTTTCAATTTCATAAGACGAGGGAGAAATTTAATTAATTAACCTTTATATTTCAAAGAAAAAAAAATTGTAAAAATTTCGCATATTTTACATCACTTTATTGGATCAAACATGTGAAAAGAAAAGAAAATTCCGATTGATAGATACAAAAAAATATTGTTTTTTTCATGTAAATAATAACAATAATACTTAGTAATAATAACATTAAAAAATTCAATTTATGCTCTTAAAAGGTAAATTCTTCTATTATATAACATTTTTTTGATTATAATTGGTTAGCTTTTTTTCTATGGACAATCAATTACATCTATTATATTACATTGAAGGTTAATATTTGTTTATTTTTATTTATTATTTTTTATTTTATATAATTATTTGTAATGTTATTCCTTGAAAGAGAATAGACTCAATAGATTCCTTTATTCATTTTATGAGATTTTTTATGAGATTTTGTGATCGTACCTTTTCGATTACAGAATCAAAGATTAGTAATAAAAAAAAGTATCATAGACTAAGAACCAGTCGATCCCCCTGTTGCGTCATTTATTCATCATATTTTATTTGAAGAACAATTGTTTTTTTTTTTAAATACAAGTTTTTTTTTAAAATCTTCCAAAAAAATGCATGAAAAGATGGAGAATAAAAGGAAGTTTGAAATATTTCTTGGAGAAACTTATAATCATCCGAGAAAATCAATGAGACTTAAAAGTAAACCCTTTTCTCGTCTTTCACAAGATGACTATTTACAAAAAGAAATCGATAAAAATAAATGCGAAGAAACGTATGTTTCGACTAATAATTATGATAGCAATAATAACAACAAAGATGTAGCGCAGCAGTCAATTAATAATGAAGCATCAAGTACTGAGAATAAAAATGAACAAGGGCCTGTTTTTTCGAGGTATCGCAGGGATAAAAGCCGACCTAAAAAGTCTAAATCTAGAAAATCTAACACAATCATAGATCAAGTAGAATATTCAAACTCATGCGATTGTCAATTGCTTGTTTCTTCACTTCCATGCGATTGCTCAAAATCAACAAAGAATCAAAATGAAAAGTTCGATTATGAAATGATTATTAAAGAAGATATCCCTGACAAAAATCCACCAATAAAAGCGAAAAAACAAGGCATAATAAAAAAAGTTAAGAAAGTCACAAAAGCTATTTATAATTATTGTAGCTACGTGATTTATGGCTATGAAAGTGACGAGCAAAGTGATGATGATTTGTCCAATCTAACAAATTCAGCTTCATCATGTTGGGAAAATGCATTTAATAAGTTTCCTTTTTTAAAACAATTCGATCCACTAGCACCTAAAAATCCGATACCTTCAGTAATTTATCCTTATTCAAGCACACTCACCAACGAACCCTCAAATTCAACAGAAGCTCTTTGTACAAAATGTGGATTGCATTATGTTTCAAGTAATATTTTGAACGGTACAAATTCGCACAATAACAATATTCGGGAAGGTAATAATAATCGACATGATTTCTTACCCGTGGAAAGTGTTTCTCGACACATGGCACCACAATCTTCCCCAAAATCATTACATCTGCTCGTAATGTTTATAGCGTTTGATTGTAATATTGGGCCACCGAATTTCGACAATTGTCATTCATTACGCTATCATCCTATCTTGCGTCGTTTTGGAAAACCTATAATAGACGAATTTAATGCATTAAATTTTGTTCATGATTCGATAATGAATTGCTGGGCAAATTCATGGAAGGTTGCACTGGTTGTTTTGGGCGAAGTTAAAGAATTGAATCGCTTTTTTATGGAAATTCGTAAAATATTCAAGAGTGAAATTTTAGATATTATTTTCATTCAACCTTCAGAATCTTCATATTCGCTTTCTTTCCCTAAATATTTTAATCAATTGGATATTAGCGTAGCTAAAAATTCTTATACAACAAGTTGGATGGAAAAATATGGCAAGATAATGGATAATGTAATTCAAAAGGTAATTTTTTCTTTCGAAAGTTGAATTTCTTTTAATACAATTTACATTTCTTATTTCATTGTCCTAAATACTAATTAGGCATATCGTGATGAAGACAAGATATACTTTTACAATAAAGATGAACCGTATTACGAGTTTACTAATTTTTATAGAGCCCCGATCCGGAAAGATTTCGAAGAATGGCCGACGACTGAACATTATTGTAAGTAAATATGTAGAGATATTTTCGTAATTCGTGATTTGGCAATAATTTCATTCTGATATCTATGTATATTTAGTCCAAGCCGCGAAGTTCAAAGATAGATATATTCGCAATAACATTCGTTTCGCTTATACAGCTCGTGAAGCTTTCACTATCGCACGGAAAAATGATTTTCGGAAGCGTGAAGACTGGGAATCGCCTATACCACCAGATAATGTGATTTTTAAGGAAGGCATAATGAAAGAAGCACTATGGCTAAAATTTACGCAACATGAAAATTTGAAATATAAATTACTTTCAACAGGCAAAGTTAAAATTTTCGAGCATACAGAAAACGATCGATATTGGGGTGACGGAGGAAAGAATCAAAATGGTCGTAATAGGTTAGGAATTATGTTACAAGAACTCAGGGAAATGTTAATGGAACATGAAAAAGCTAAATTGATAAAAAAATATAATTCTGATCAATATCAAAAGTGGTTTTTATCCGAATTGAAGGAACTGAAACAATTTGATGATTTAATTGCATTTGATGATTCTGACTGAATATTTAAAATAAAAACTTTCCAAAAATCAAATTTATAAATTTCAAAAAATTTTCTTCTTGTGAACAATGTACATAATGATGGAGTGTTTTCGATGATTGTAATTCAGCCCGGCACTATAAAAAATTATCATTCAAATGCAAATTTCCAATTTGGATATCTCATAGACTTCATACAGTTGCATCAGAGTACTGACTGGCATTATTAGCATGAAAGCACATGATAAAACATCTAGCGAGGATGATATCAAAAAAGGATACATTTCTAGTAATCAATTACAATCTATACGATATAATCGATATTTAGGGGATGGCAATTTGTTTAATTAGTAATATAACTAAAGCTGAAACGGGTATTTGACTAGAATAGAATTTTGATTCGAATTTTTGTCTGAATAAATCACGACAAATTTGGTTATATATTAAGCTGAAGTATATAGATTAAATCATCGCGATATTTATTTACTCTATATATATTGTTTCAAGTACTTATTTGTAACTTCCTAAATTACAAATTTAACGATACTAAATTCTATTAATAAAATAAAAATGAATATCTTTTCATATAATTCACGATATAATGTAGGTCTAACGATTCGTTACAAAATCTCCTTTATTTATTAGGTTATCTGAACTCTGAAATCCGATTTAAATAGAATTGTTAGATTTATGATCGTTAATGATGGTAATGATATTAAACAATTGTTAGGAGAAATACATGCAAAAAAATTGTATGTTATTGTATCGAGGAAGAAGAATCAAATAAATTATTAGTATCGTGTGGCATCATTCTATTGGATATAGAAGTTGTGCTTTAGATATTTTATCCATCATTTAATGAATTTTATTAAGCAAAAAATAATTTTATAAAGAATCTTCTAACGAATTATAATCTAAAATTACAATCTACGAAATCATTTTATAAACGATAGAAAAAATATATTATAACAAGCTCTCATCCTTGTCTTTAATCAAAGCAGCATTTAAAGAATTCATCCTACCAAATTTCAATTAAAAAGAATTATTAAAAATTATTGAATAGACCTTTCGATATATTCTATCACAGCTGAAGAATTAAAAAGTCCACTTAGACAAAGTAAACACCATAAAACTACAATTATTTCAATTATTTCATTATTTGCTTATCATCATTTAATACTCGCTAGTAATCAAGGTAATAATATGTCACCATCTGATACCATTAGATTAGATACTTGCATTAATACAAGACCATATTCCACGCCAGAATTACCTTGGACTGAGAAAGGAGCTTTATGTGTCTGAAAGTTATTTAAATAGTAATACCCGATAATTATCCGGAATTAGATTTTGGAAGATGAGCAAAGAATTTAGGGAACAACTAATAAACTCTAATATTTCTGATCCTATTAAAAAATTAGGAATGATAAAATTGTTTCTTAGCGATCGAAAAGTTTTATGAAGAAAAAAATCAATGATGGATTATGAGTATAGGTAATATCGGCGAATTTCAAAATATCATCAGGAAATTATTCCGATAATGAATGGAAAATCATTTACACTTGTAAGCGGTTCTGTAAGTCATGTACAGGTGGTAGAATTTGGCGAGAGAACACTGAGGGAACATTAAAATCTGTTGTAGAACTAAGTTAAATGGCGATAAATTTGAAATAATTTTAGATTATTTAAATTTATCTTATATTTGAATTTATTACATAGATTTAGTTGATTCCGGAATTACATCATTCCAGTTGACATTATAAATTAAATGATGCATTTGATATACTTGTATCAAATTTATTATAATAAAATATCGGATAAAAAAACAAATGTTTGTTCTAAGCTAAAATAAACATGACTACTATTTTCTTTTTGATTTATTCTTTCTCTTTTTTTTCTTCCCTTTATTACCTTTAGTACCCATTTTCAGGTTGATTACTTCCATTGGTACCTCTTCTCCTCATTCTTCCTCATCTTCAAATTCAGGTTCATCAGAAATCGTATAATCATAAAGTATATTATCAGGATAAAAGAGAAAATTTTCGATACCAGTTATTAAATCAGGTCCCAAATATTGCATATCTTTTTCCATTTCATTCTATATAAGTACACAACCATGTTCATCTACCATAATACCAACATAACCAGAATCATCTATAAGTACTGGATGAGGATTTGTGATCTTGAATGCTTAAGAAGTTCTGCATTCTATACATACTTTAATGAAATTTCACTTGTAATTTTATGAATTCCATGTCTCAATAAGTCAAGTAATTGATTTGAAATTTCTGGCAATTTTGACAAGGATCCGTTACTGTTCCATGTAAAATGTTGATCGTACGGGTTCTGGTTGTGATCTCGGGTTTCATTTTTGCTAGAGGAGACCAAGTGTTTGTCTCGGAGCAATTCCCAAACTGAAATTTGTTGAACTTTGAAAGGAAAAGGCGGTGATCTATCTCTTGCCGATATGTGGCTATCTGCTTCCTCTCTCTTCGATTTGGAGATGTTTTCTTTCGAAGGGGCCTTGAAAGAAATTATCTATCTCGGAGTTAAAGGTTCCTTCGTTTACCCCAACAGACCCAACTACGGTGCCCGAAATTGTAAACGAGGGTCCACCAGCTGAAATTTTCTCCTCTTTACGTTCCTTCCATTTTCGTGCCGCATTATGATCGGGCCGTTTATCCTAACAAATGAAAAATTAGTAATATTCTCAAGAGATACTTTTACGATCCCCGTCTAATATTTTTATCCCATTGGTTGCCTCGAAGGATTGAACATCAGATGAACCCGAAGTTACCCAATGTCCCAGAGGGAATAGTGTTGGTCACCCCGAAGGCTTTAAACACCAGATGAACCCGAAGTTACCTGGTGCTCCAACACTAGCTTTGTGGCTCAACCCGAAGTCTTGAATTATAAGGATTCCCTAAGAACCTTACAACGCCACTTATTTCTGCTTGCGCTTCCAACAAAAAAAAAAAAAATACTTGCCTCCCTATAATTATTTAACAAGTGCAGTACTGAGACTCCGAAAAGCACCTTTAATTTAATAAAAATATAAAATTGTAGGAATAATTAAAAAATACAACTATATTTGAATAAAAATATTCAAATGAATATAAGAAAACATTTAATTTCACCTTGATTTTTTCTGACTAGTTATCAATTTCCACGACACGTTTAATGTTGTTGGTATCATGTCTCGATTGGTTCCAAGATCAATATCCGGGCTATCTGTTTCAAATGCCCAATTAATATTCCTCGTAATCGAATGACTTCTTGGGGATCATTTTTTTCAATTTTACTTTCTCCGAGTTCATTCATTACGCATAGGGCGTCCCATGAATTTGCAATTACATAATATGGTCCATTCATTCGTATTGTCATCGGTGTCAGTTGGCCATTGATTCTTCAAACGGATATTTTGGGTTCTAATGTAAAATATTAAAAGATAGAATTTAAGATGTCTATAATCTATACAAAGAAACAAAATTCTGATACATACCTATATGGTAGAATAAATTTGTCGTAAATTTCCTGAGCCTTCTCGCCATTATTTCGATACGCTTTCAAATCTAAGGTGAAGAATAAATATATTTAAGAAATTTTTATATAAAACAGAAAAATAAACTAAAATTTACCTTTTCTTGCGTCCATGATTCGCTTAGACGGGGAAGATTGCATTAGGATTATCAGAGATAAAGCTTTCACTTTGCTTTAAAGAAGGTTGATGATTTTATAGGATATTGAATGTAATGATGTAATGTCGTTATGAGATCATGTAATGGGTGTAATAGGTATTAATATGCTGACGATCATTTAAGAAGGAACCGCGATTATACAAAAAAGAAAATTTTTTTACGCGACTTCACAAAAAAATAAAATTTTTTAAGTTTCAAAAAATCCTTTGGTAACAGATACAACACATACACTACCAGTCAAAGGATTATGTTGTATTATGATCATGTAAAAGAGACGAAAATCTGCGAACAAAGAACCAGTAATATTACTTCAACAGGTAACACAACATTGCATAAAAGGATAAAAATTGATCCGAATATTGATATGCATTAACGATCATGTGAATGTATCGAACTTTTATATTTATTTTTATAGTGAAAAAAATTTTAATATTAATATTTATGAATATTTACTTTGGTATCTATATAACATGTAAATTTTTGGGGGATTTCGTTAAACATAATTATTAATTGGAGTGGCCTTACTATTATTATAAAGTTTTTTGTTTGAAATTCAACAAATTTGTTAAAATTGAAATTCATATCTTTTTAACTTTATATTGTTTGGCACGTTTAATTCTTGTTAATCGGTTAATGATATCAATTCTAAATCCTCCTCACCGTAGATCAGGCCTCCAGGAAAGATGAAAATTTCCAAATTATGAATTTTATAAGCCAACGAGAATTTATGAACTTATTACGATAACGCAAAATTTAAAAGATTAACTTTGTGCTAATATATCGAAAAAGAAGATTGATACTTTGGTGTAAATTTTTATTAATTCATCTTAATTGACAGTTTTTATATAATCAATTAATTTTAAGTTTTAATAACGCATTAAATTACAAATTGTTATTTTATTTTATTTTTTACGGGAAGTTTTGAAATTTCATATAATTTAAGAAAATGTATTTGCATTAGGCACATTCTTTTTCGAATTTCAGAATAATAAATATTAGATTCTGATAATCAAAGAATTTTATGCAATAACCTTTTAATATAGAATAAACTTACAAAATATTTTTTATTATACAATGGCATATAAAATTTGTCATTATAAAATTATATCTGAATCGTAATAAATATTGTATATGAGAATTTCGTAAATAAAAACTTATTTATCATCTAAAGTTAACAAATTAAAAAGTTAATATAATATTTAAACTATGTTAATAATATTTATTTTCATTTTCGTGACTTAAATAATTAGACTTATGGTAATTTAAAGTTAATCTATAGTATCGATTGCTATCGAATTAATGCATTAATGCTTGGACTTTATTTTCATGCCTCATTCTAAGGTGTAGGCAATTCTCACGTAACAGGCTAGAACATTTAGTGCTTAATATTATATAAACGGAAACGGTTAAAATTATTGTAGTACTGCTGTAATTACGATATGTTTAAATATAAATATACTTCTATTTGGAAAACTTCTGAGCTCTGATAAAGATATTTTACTTGCTTTTAGTGAAATTTTAGAAAAATTACTTCGAATTTCAAGAGATTAAACAATAAAAATTTTATAAACGCACTACGATTTTTATTAGTAATATATATTCTTATACAGTATATATATTAAGTATCGAGAATAACAATCTCGAAATTCCATAAATAAAATACATTGATATAAAAAATTCTTCAATAAATCTGAAGAAGATTTAGGTAAAGAACATTCTTAAATATTGACTTAAGACTATAATGATGATGTATCGAAGAAAATTAGATAATATAAATAAATCTGAAAATTTGACAAAAATAATATAATCTATAAATTAATATCCTAATCAAAAGAGAAATGTTTCTCCAAAAGAGAATGTTCCTCAGTAGATAAAATAAATCAATAAGAGAGAAAATGAATGATTTTGTTTTGACTAAACAAAAGAATAAATCGAAAAAAAGGAATATGTCTTGTGTTATAATCTTAAGTGAGGTAAAAAATAAATTGCTAAAGATGGTTGGTAATAAACATTGAATCGAATGAATATTAAAATCGAAAAAAAAATTTTCTTCGAGTCGTGAGAAAGAAAAAAAGGATAATAAATGTTAAGTTCATTAATTCGTTTTTTTTTCTTTTTTTTTTCTTTTTTTTTCTTTTTTTTTTTTTTGAGGTAGTCCAATTACAGACTGATTCATGCTACATAATACTCTATAACCAGTGTTGAACTACGATTTTAATAAAGGCTAGAACAAGAGGGTAATTAAGAAAATTAAGCTTGTGTAAATAAAGGGTTGTTATTTTTTTTTTTTTAATAGTCCAATTACAAACTAATTATTTATAATCAGTGTTGAACTATAATTTTTTAAAGATAATAAATAAAAACTGCATATAAATATTTTATTCTTGATAGAGTGCTCAGTGCTCGTTTATAAGTTCAAAGACATTCATATAAATATATAATATAATATATATTTATATCAATCAACATCTTTTTGTTCGGTATATTGAAAGATTTGGATTATATATTTATATCAATCAACATCTTTTTGTTCGGTATATTGAAAGATTTGGATTATATCTTCTGCGATTTCTACGATTGATCCGACTGCAATAATTTTTTTTTCGAAATGCTAATTTTTTCCGAATGCCGTTATGAAAAACATTTTTAAACAACGAATAAGTATGGAATCGAAGAACATTTAGTATCTGCTTGGCATCTAAAATGTCATCCTGAGAATGATTCAGTCTTTTAATTAATTTAAGTGTTTCAGTTTCTACTTTATCATAGCAATGCCCAAGTTTAAATTGAATTCGCTTTTGCGATATAGGATAATCTTTAGCTAGAGTTTCTCTAAAAATATTAGAGCCAAGATTTATAGTTTCATAATCTTGCCCATCTAATGCATAAATTTCCATGGTTTTTTTAATCAGTCCAAATGCTTTGATATCCTTTTTTTCGGTTCCATTATTATAACAATATCCAGGCCTATTTGTTGCATCAATATCTCCTTTTTCTTTTGGTTCATGTTTATAAATTTGCTTTTGGAGTGGGAATTGAACGTCGTAGACGTGATTATTATAGTCACAAATAGCTTCATTAATTGTATTATTAACCTCATTCATTGAATTAACTTCGCCGCTTGCTTTCGGTTCATATTCATAAGTTTGCTTTTGGACGTCGTGGGCGTGATTATTGCAGTCATTATTAATATTCGGTTCACGTTCATAAATTTGTTTTTGAGATGGAAATTGAAGAAATTGAACGTCGTGGACGTGATTATTATAGTCACTAGCTTCATCGATTGCAGCATCAATCTTCGGTTCATGTTCATAAATCTGTTTTTGGTGTGGAAATTGAACGTCGTGGGCGTAATTACTAATAGCTTCATTAATTGTATTATTAACCCTGTCTCTTATACACATCTAGATGTGTATAAGAGACAGGTTTATTGTAGTCACAAATAGCTTCATCGATTGCAGCATCGATCTTCGGTTCGTGTTCATAAATCTGTTTTTGGTGTGGAAATTGAACGTCGTGGGCGTAATTACTAATAGCTTCATTAATTGAATTATTAATAGCATTCATTGAATCAACTTCACGTTCATGTTCATAAATTTGCTTTTGGAGTGGAAATTTGGAGTCATGGACGTGATTATTATAGTCACAAATAGCTTCATCGATTGCAGCATCGATCTTCGGTTCGTGTTCATAAATCTGTTTTTGGTGTGGAAATTGAACGTCGTGGGCGTGATTATTGTAGTCACAAATAGCCTCATTAATTGTATTATTAAGATTAAAAGTCTGATTGACTTTTTTTTCTTTCGGTTCATGCTGTTGAAATTCATGTTCATAAATTTGCTTTTGGTGTGGAGATTGAACGTCGTGGGCGTGATTATTGTAGTCACAAATAGCTTCATTAATTGAATTATTAATCTCATTCATTGAATCAACTTCACGTTCAGGGGATTGAACGTCGTGGGCGTAATTATTGTAGCCACAAATAGCTTCATTAATTGTATTATCAAGATTAAAAGTCTGATTAACTATTTTTTCTTTCGGTTCATGTTGCATGTGGGGTTGAAAATCACGTTCATAAATTTGCTTTTGGTATGGAAATTCGTGTACCATAACTTGATCGCCATTAATGTCATTCATTGAATGATTATAGCTAATCTTATTCATTGAATCAACTTCGCCGCTTTCTTTCGGTTCATGTTCATAGATTTGCTTTTTGTGAAACTCGTGTTTTTGATGAGCGTCGCGGACGTAGTCAGAAATATAATTTTGTTCACACATAAAACGATTCTTGCATTGGCGACAAGTTTGTTGATTAGCTTCCTGTGCGTTTGAAGTATCTTTGACCAATCTATCATTATGGGCATATACTTTTTTATGAAATTCTTGAGGACAATCGGTGCCTTCGTACAAGTTTTGCCACACTTCTGACCCCATTTTGGCAGTATTATTCGCGTTTACTTGTTCAAATCTCTGATTATTAAATATTTGATCTTCTTCATCTGCACTTTCTCTTTCCCTAACTAAGCGCTGCGTTTTTATTTGAAATCTGCGTTTCCTTTTGGCATCCACAGTCATAATTTGTGTATATTTTGTACCACAATTTTCACAATATCCTTCTTGAAGAATCGCAATTAATTTAAAAAAGAAATTAAATTGAATTTTATAGGATGGATTAATTAGATAAAGATCTTTTAAAAAAACATTTTATCACCTTGGTTACATTTTGCAACTTTAGTTTTCTCTAATTCTTCAATTCCCCGTTTTATAGTTCCAAATATATCTTTATCAAGTTGTTGAAATAGATTCAAAGAATAAGCTACGGGTGATCTCTCTAATTTTAACAAAAAAAGAAAGAAAAAATATGAAAAAATGCAAACAACAAGTGCAAATAAGAACAAGTAAAAATTAATTTTACCTGAAAGCCGCAACACTTTAGTTTTAGCACGTTAAAAAAAAATTAAAAACACGTAATTAATTAAATAATTAAAAATTTAAACATTATATAAAAAATAAATAAATTTAATTTTACCTTTCATAACTTTTCTGAGCTCTTTTAAAATTAAAAAGTAAAACATTTGACAAAATCATAAATATTTTTATTTAAATAATTTTTTTTAAAAAAAGAAATTCAAATAAAAACTCAATCTTACCGCTTTTTAATACTATAAAATATTAAAATTAAAAAAGTTAAATTTTTTAAACCACTTTTATTTAAAAACTGCAAATAAAATTAAAAATGACCTTTTTTACGTTCTGTTACGATGTTAAAATTAATATTAAATAAGTACTAAGTAATTTTTTTTTTTTTAAAAAAAAAAAAAAAAAATAAATTTTA